CTTCACTGTTCCACTTTTGTCCAACATCCTGCAATTATTATATGAACACGAGCATCAGGATGCATTAGTTGTCAAATGAGACGTGGCCTTTATGCATCACTGACTACCTGCATAGTTTGAGTAATCAAATCAAAAATACCTTTAAGATGATGAACTGGAACCTGCTTTAGATTCATCTTGTTAAAAAAACTGAAATGAATGCACTGTTGGCCATACAAATACATGTTACTAGAGTTTAGTGCAGTGTGACTTGCTTGGAAAAGGCCAAATTATGGACAAACAAAGCACAGGAGCAATGTCAAGATCAGATAAACAGTCAGTCATTGAGGCCATGTTCAGACTGACAGCAAAAATCAGATTTGTTTTTGCATATCCAGATTTTATCCAGATGAGTTTGTGAAAGTCTGGAAAAGACTTTTTCAAATATGATTTAACCCTCATCCTTCCCTCGCACTTTGTAACACATCTTTCCCTCACGGGCCAAAAAATAACGTTTTATTTTTTATTTTTTGTCAAGGAAGCTTATTTTGTTTCATTTTGATAATAGTTTATCTTTTTTATCTATTCATCTAGTTTATCTATTTTTTAATTACATTTTTTGGCGATTTTTTTGTTATTTCAATTTTATATAGGTTACCTTTAAATTACTAGATTTGATCAATAAATAATAAATAAATAGTAATTTAAACACACTCCTCACATTCTTTCAACTTAAATTCAAAATAACTCACAATTTCATGCATAAGCCTTTTAATTCAGCTCAAAATATCTTACATTGTGTCTTTGCCGACCTCTTCTGGGAAAAAAAAAATATATATAACATGATATTTGATAACTCTAGCCACTAGCTCTATATGGAGCTTATAGCTCTATATGGAGCAAACGAGCTGAGCTACTTTTTAGCATTTTTAGGTTTTTCTATGTGTACTGAAGCATTCCTCGCATTCCTAAGGGGGTCAAATTGACCCGCGAGCGAAGTATTGTTACTTTTTTAAATTTCAACCACAAAAATTTAATCCATAAATTTTTTTCGTGTGTATTCGTGCTTGAAGTGTGACAAAAGTCCTAGGGTCTTGGACTCCTCTGATGAACATTAGATAAAAAAATAAAATAAAAAACCCCCCTTAATTTCGGTTCAAAATGACCTGACCATGAAATGCAATTCCAATATGATTTTTACAGGTGCGTCTCAAATCGGATTTCAATCTGTCTTTTGCGTCACTCTTAAAGCGACGCACAACGATAACATTAAAACTGGTGACGGAAATGCCCGAAGTATTCATACAGTGTTCAAATGATATGTCCAAAGATCTGCACCACGACTAGACAGGGCGCATTTTTCCTGAAAGCCTCCGTCGTTACCAATGCAACCCATGCTGATAGGGTTGTTATAAGACATAGAAGTGTAGTTTGTTCACAGGACATCATGACCCTTTTTTTAACAGCTCCATCTTTTGGTCTCCATGGATACTTTCTTCTTTGGGCAATGATGAGACATTATCTCAAACCATCCCTCCGTCATGTTTTAAGCAGTGAGGTTCATCACAACACTGTTTCAGGACTGTCTGCTTTACTCTTATCCGCACTGCCATGATAGATCATGAGTGTTCACATCGACTTTCACATTTACATTTATTTATTTAACAGACGTTTTTATCCAAAGTGACTTACAAATACAACAAGCGATTCATCTTAAGGAGGCAATCTCTTAACTTCTGTTCATTTTCATAATCATGAAAACGTCAACACAATCTCATAATCATTTGTTAACAGACGTATTCATAATTTCAATGATCTCATTGTTTCTGCCTTAAATTATTACATTGTTTAAATGAATACTTTTTTCGCTAACTGTGATTTTGTATATGTACATTTCTGAAATGCATAACTTAGACAGTTTCCTCTGATAACAGACTCTGAATTGTAATGTGGACTCGATGTGAAATGATGTGTATTGTAAGAAAAGCGCTATACAAATAAATGTGAATTGAATTGAATTTTCATCCTGCGCCGCTCATAAACTTCAGGTTTTGTCCTGCTTAATTTAGGTCACTTTCCCACTTTAATAAGATTATATTCCTCAGATCAGTAATCTGTTCATTTTTGTTTAATTATATAAAGAAAATTTATTTTATCAGGAAAATAAATCGTCCAACCTCCATTGTGATTTAAAATGTCAAAACGTTAAATGTATTCACATTAAAATTAAACCTAATCTCTTATATGGAACGTGCATGTGTAGAGGAATATTAATCCCCAAAAGAGTTGAGTTGTTTAATATAGTCATTTTCAGGCATAGCATTTCCACAATTAGTCAAGTTTCAGTGAGAAAAAAACAAAAAAAAACAGCTAAAATAATCTCTAAAAATACAAATATAGCAGTCGATGATGCCGCAGACTCTCATTTCATTACTGGACATGCTCATACTGACACGGTAACAGTGTTTTCACAGCTCTTTCAAACTCTCTGGCGCCCCTGTGTGGTTAAAGTGAGTGTATTACAGAAGTAAACAGTCTCTGGACCATGTGTGATATACAGATACAATGGTAGAAAAAGAAGACGAAGGGGGAATTCAGCGAGTCCTTTCCCTGGGGGGGGTCAGTGCCATGAAACTGGACTCTGCTAGTTAACACACTCCCAAAAAGCACTGCATTGATGATGATGCATTTTTGTAGTTTAAATCACCCTGGTTCCCTCCACAAAACCTCGATAGGATTTTTCCATGGGCTTTTAGATTATTGCAGAAAATAAGCTCTGCGACCAACAACAAGTTTATGATTCTTCCACGTTTTGTTCATTATGATAACCTTCACAAAATGAACAACTTTTGAAGCCTGAATTCACTCGGCAGAAATAAAAAGCTAAACGTAGGTTAGTAAAAAACTGCCCCACTGTCACATGACTTACGACATCACCATTAACTCTCCCCGCCATTGACGAGATTAGCCGACATTTATGACACACACCATAGAACAGTTTTTCCGGGAATCCATGTTTTCACTAGCCGCTTTATTACAGATTTGAGCAAAACGTTGTTATTTTTTCCCTAAATGTCGATAAAAAACAATTGCTAAACGACAATAGTCCATTAACTGATGTTATGCGACTAAAACGTCTTTTTTTCCTCTCGCGATAAGTCCTTCCAAAAATCATGGCAACGGATGTCATGGTTTTGCCTGCTTATCTGTGTATTTTCCTAGTATTGTGGCAGGACCATGACAGACCCATGTTTTGTGTACAAGCGCATGGCCAATCGTCAGGGCCATGTGCTTGTGTTGTCTTATTACCAGTTCCCGCCCCCCTTGTTATCCCTGTCTTGTCATCATTGAATAGTTGTTATCACCTGTCTTGCTCATTAGTGGTTCCCTATGTAATCCCCGTGTTCTCTCTGTCTTTTGTCGGTTCATTGTTTAAACACTGTCTGATGTCTAACCTTGTTGGTTCTTTGTCTATTGAGATTACTCCGTGAAACCTTTGTCATCCGTGTCTTGATCCTTGTCTGTCGTTCGAGTTGTGAGTTCCTGTATTATCAGTTTATCCTGTCCTGTTTTGCCCCATCGTGGGTTTTACTTTCTGTTTTGTCGTCATTAAACCTTGTTTGAGTTACTCGCTGTCTGCATTTGGGTTCGTTCCTCACCACATCATAACAACGGATGTTGGTAGGTTTAAGAATATATCGCAGCCACCGCACTAGCCATTATTTTTAATGGAAGGAGACGTAGGCGTGTTTATTCAAGCATTAATGGCAAGAAAAGCCCCTTAAACTGGGAGCTGTTTTCACGTATTAGCTGTTTCTCACTCATATCTGCTTCAAGCTCTTGATAAATTGTGGCATTTCTTTGTTGTATTTTAAGAGTTTAATAAAGAACTGTCTCGTCTTCTGTGCCAGACATACTGCGCCATCTTTAAAGAATAGTCATGTGACTTTTACGTACGTCAGGTGACCTGTAAATGCGAAAAAAGCCATTGCAGTTTTGTGAAATATTCCTTTTTTGAATTGCCTGGAAAACCACCTCATGTGAGCGGAAAACCTTTTTGCGACACATGGGAGTTTTTGCTAAATGGACAATTGAGTTTCCATTGGGCGTATTTTCAATTCGCAATTTCGATTTGAGCAATTTAAAGAGTAATGGAAACACGGCTACTGTTATACGCTAGGGGTAAATGACGCATCTTCTGAAAGAGTGCACAATCTCTGGATCCGAAAACAAACGAAGAAGCAGTAAAAGTAAACTAACGCGATCATCAAACATATAAATCAAAACTAGGTTACACTTTATTTTAGGCTTTTCTTTTTACAGTGCATTACGGTGTAATAATAATTAACTACACGTACTTACTATAGGGTGAGGGTTAGGATTGGGTTTGGTTTAGGGTTAGTTGAATGTAATTATGCATAATTTATAGTTATTAATACAGTAACTACATGTGTAACAAGGGCACTGTAAAATAAAGCATTACCCAAAACTACATAACGTTACCGAATGAAAGTCGCCCCATAAAGAGGAACAGGACAGTGACTCGATCTACTCCATCTGTGTTTTTGATCATCGTTCTGAATCCGATCTGACGTAGTCTTTGACAAAAACGGGATTTTCTCAGCTTTTTGTTAATAATGTTCATTTGTTTATGAAACTTGCCCACATTCAAGTGTTGATAAAAATGTATAAAGGTAAAATAAAATGCTTTTTTGGTTTAAAAGCAGAGGCTCTGTTCTTTCTTTTGATATATTGTGTGTTCAGATATTCATACACAACTAAATATTCTGGGGGCCATGAAAAGTTTTGTGAAAATGATCAAAAACGCTGGCGGTGACTGGCAACTTTTTAATAAAGCTAGCAGGGAAAGAAAGAGTTACGCTTTCGACAACTCCTTCAGTCTTCATTTAACAAACATTTTCCCTGAAAGTTTGAGTTGGAATAGTTTGCAAGAGCGTGATTATAAAACTAGATGAGTTTTCCTGTTCGACATTATGTTTAATGTCCCGACAGCCTCTGTAGTCCGATTAACGCTTGTTAGCAAATGCTTTATTTGAAGACGAAAAAAAAAAAATCATATTATGTATTATACATTATTGATGTACTATATGCCGCACCATAAAAAGTGAAAATATCGTTGAAGCTTGTGTTCACCACAGACCTTATTTCAGGCAAAACCCATTTAAAAAACCCATTGACTTCAGGGTGATGGAACTGAACGTGCTAAAAGGCTTGTTTCTGGGTTTAGGACCACAAAAATACATCATCCCTGCAGCAGTCTAGTAATGAGATCCCAGTCGACTACTTGAGCGTCTGGTACTGATTTGGGGAAATGTCATGAACAAGCCTGACTGACCATCTGAAAATCCTGCCAAAATAGGATGAGAAAACATCCTGGCCACTAGCTTTCAGATACACCGCAGAGCTTCACATTATCTGGATTCTTGAATCTCTTCATGTTTGATGTGCCTTCTACAGTCATCAGAGGCGTTTAGCCTGTCAGCGTCCCTGTTTCTCTGAGTGAATCCTCAGGATACGCACCCTTGATGGGAACTAAGGTGCGAGAACCACGCTAGGACGTTATCTCCCACACCTAGCAGCCTCAGTTTGCACCCTTGTGCCCTAGCAGAAGTCCGAGACATAGTCGAAGTCCCTGAAGTAGTCCTGGTCTTTGCGCGAGAGGTTCCGGCGCTCACGAGGAGGTGTCAGCGTCGGAGCCTCGTTGGTGAACTCGGAGTCGAAGTTACTGACGTCTTCTTTTCCTGTCAAGGCGGGAACGAACGGAGGAGGAACTCGCCGCTGCAAAAGCGCATCCCAGTCCATATTCTGCAGAGAAAGAGAGAAGATGGAGCCACACTGTCACTAAGATCGCAACTTTGGCTTTATAGACCCCTTTTCAGTTAGTAAACATGTGGCGGTTTTTGTGGGCGGAGCTTAGGTGGAGGCAGAACGATTCCCCTGGCCACTTCACCAATGCTAGCTAGCAAGTTTTGTTAGCTTGTAGCAATGACTGGAGAAAATCCAATTTTATCTGAATTTGTAAGATCACTCACTGTCGCGAAATCTTGTTATCTGGAAAAGTTAACTAACGGACAGAGCCAGATTGGCCGACCAGTAACGTTACACGCTCACACAATGGATGGAGGATCTGACAGGATTACCTCCACTTATGGCAACTGAAGAAAAGGAGATGACACAAACAGTTCCTTTTATGTTTAGTCTCTGGTCGTTAGCTAGCAGTTATCTAACTGCAAGTTGTACGACTAACAAAGTTAGCTAACTTATGCACTAAACAAGTTAACATTACGTGAGAAATCACTTAACTTTCTAATGGTATCTCTAGGTGGCCATGCATGGGGAATCTTTAGACACGTAACCAAACCATAATCCATACCAACAAAAGACAATAGCTTATTGAAATGAAGTGTGCGCTTAAAAAACGCGAGCATTTTTTAATGATCGTTTCTGCCCAGTCCGTTCGTTTTACTGCGTTTAGCCACAGCTGTCGTCTGTTTTTTTTTTTCAGGCAAAATGTGATAAAATTTCAAATTGGAGCCTGTACTCCGTCGATTCTGGCACCCAACAACACAGCAAGATGACATTTTAAGCTTCTAATGTAGCCGACTATAAATATTAATGGCTGACGAACTAGCTGATTTGTATTGGCTGCCTCCAGTTTTCCCTTTGTTTTGCCTCCAGCTAACGCCGTGACGTAATTGTGACGTCGGCACAAAAAGGGTCTATTGTACGGAGCCCATAAAGGCGATGGAGAAAAATGCAAGGAAAAAGTAATGCTTTTGCGTTCTCTCGCAAAACTTTTGCATTCCCCAAATAAGATTGCATTCTCTCACAAAAGTATTGCATTCCTTTGAGAAACTTGCACTGAAATACAGTTTGAAATAGTTTTTGAAAAGCACAATTTTTGTAAAAGAAGGCAAATGTTTTGCGAGTGAATGCAGTTTCTTTGGGGAATGTAATAGTTTTGCAAAAGAGAAAATATTTTGTAACAGAACACAAACACAAATTTAAAGTTTTTTGGGGAGAAAGTCAGTAATTTTGTGAGCGAACGCAAGTGTTTTTTAAAGGAACTGTAGAAGTTTCTATGGGGAACGCAATAGTTTTGAGGGAGAACACAAATGTTTTGCGAGAAACACAACGTTTCTGTAACGGTTCCACTGACGCGGAGTCAGTTTTCTGAGCCCAAATACAGTTAATTCCACAGTGGTGTATCAACAAAGCAATAACTTGGAAATCAACATACTTTGACTAAGTAAAGCATGGCATGGAAACACAAAGCAGTGGATTACAGCATCAAAAGATGTCAAAGCTAGACAAACACGCATGGCAAACTCAGGGATATATATACACAGACTAATGAGCAACACCTGAATGTAATGAAACCAATAAACCAATGAGAACAACACAAATGAAAACAAAAACACATGTGGGGATCACATGACACATCAAAACAAAGAGCCCAACCAAACACCACTGTTTCACTGGGGAACGCAATAGTTTTGAAAGAGAACACAAATGTTTTTTGATAAAAAAAAAGGGGAACGCTGTAGTCTTTCAAAAGAATGCAGATGTTTTGCAAGCAAATGCTAAGATTTTTTGGGGAATGTGTGACAGATTTGTGGGCAAACACACCTTTTGCAAGCAAACACTAATGGTTAGTTTTGCAAGCGGACGCAAATATTTATTGAGCGAATGCAAAGTTTGTAATGTGAAATGCAATATTTTTACGAGATAACGTATATATTTTGTGAGCAAACTCAAATTCTCGGGGGAACACAATAGTTTTGAAAGTGAGCACAAAAGTATTGAAATATAATTTTTTACTCCCATCTAATTTTTTTTGTTTTACCATCACCATGTTCCTCTAGGGGCTCCATATTATTGTATCAAGTCAAGCCAAAAAGTCAAAGAACTCTTCATACTCTAAAGAACGGTTGTTTCCGTATGTCCTCTGCGTCTTTTTCCCCGGAGCCCAGGCGTCTCTCGGGATTACGCCTCAGCAGCTGCCAATGGGAAACAAGGAAACAGTTACATTATAGTTTACGTTAAAACCCTGCAAGTCAAATACATAACTCTTAAATTAAGACCGAAATATTTAACTTGAGTGAACAGACTTACTCGTCTCATGATGCCAATGGCCTCGGTGGAGAGGAATCTTGGGTAACGTACTTCATCGTTTACAATGCTGTCAAACACCTCCTCCTCATCGTCACCTGGGAACGGTGACTGAACACAGATCATGTATCAGGATTGTGTCTGATACTTAAGTCTTAACTTAAGAAGTATAACTGTACAAGATATTATATGTGATAAGCGTATTTTCTGGAAAATTGGTTTCTCGTTTTACACACACATTTTGGTCTTGTTTTCCGGTATATTTATCTAAACATTCTTAAATCAAGATGCATTTACTTGAGATACTTGAGATGACATAGGATATGATGTCTTGTTTTTGGAGAAATTGCTCAAAATTAAATGAGTTTTTGCTTAAATGAAGAAAAAATTACCAATAGTATTAGAAAAATAAACAATTCCAAGTGTAGTTGGCATTTTTTCCCCCTCATATTAAACAAACACACTTCATATCTCAGAAAACAAGACTTATTTTATGCCATTTTGCATCTCAAGCAAATGTATCTTGATTTAAGAACGTTTAGATAATTGTACTGAAAAAAAAAACAAGACAAAAATACTAAGGAAGAAAATCAGATTTTGAAGTGAACTTTACCAAATTTTGTTAGATTTATGCTTAAAGCAAGAAAAAAACTATTTTACTGGGAAATAATATACAAATTCTAAGCAAAAAGTACACACACACACACCTCTCCGACCAGCATCTCGTAAATGAGCACGCCGAGACCCCACCAGTCCACGGCTCTCGTGTAGGACGTGTCAGTCAAAACCTCAGGAGCAAGAAACTCTGGAGTGCCACAAAATGTGCTGGTTCTGTCCCCATGACCCATTCCTACAGGACAGAGAGAGGGGGACAAAAACAAGGCGTTGGGTAGACAGAAAGAGAGAAAGAGAGAGCACAAAGTACATTATGCCAACTTTTTTGTAGGGATTTTTAGATTTCTTGGATAAAAATTGTCTCAAAATGCAAAAGAACCGGTTTTCTGTTCAAAGAAATGAATGTTTTTATTCAGCAAGGACGCATTAAATTGATCAGAAGTGACAGTACAGTACATTTATAATGTTACAAAAAATGCCAATTTTAAATAAATGCTGTTCTTTTGAACTGTGTATTTATGAAAGAATCCTGAGAAATAAAATATATCACGGTTTCCACAAAAATATGAAGCAGTTCAATTGTTTTCAACATTGATGATGATAATCATAAATGTTTATTGATCATCAAATCATCATATTAGAGTGATTTCTGAAGGATCATGTGACACTGAAGACTGGAGTAATGATGCTGAAAATTCAGCTTTGATCACAGGAATAAATTACATTCATATTTCACAATTTTTTACTGTTTTTGATCAAATAAATGCAGCCTGGGTGAGCATAAGAAACTTCTTGTGTACTGTTAAAAATAGTGCGCATTATGCTTGTAATCTGTTCTGCTGACAAGCTGTCATTTCCAGATCGCTCTGATCCAGCAGTGAACAAACATCATGTTCTGACTCCGTTAACTCCATCAACGTCAGGACAGTCTGTGACTGTGACTCACCCTCTTTACAGAGACCGAAGTCTGCGATTTTCACATAGCCTTCAGTATCCAGCAGCAGGTTATCCAGCTTCAGATCTCTAACACACACATAGATGCAAGAAGGAACTTACTTAATTACAGTTTTTGAAGTTTGTAGATTTATGCTGTAATTGTGCGTGTACTCACCGATACACAATCTTATTATCATGAAGAAACTGAAGCCCCAAAACAACACAGGCAGAATAAAACCTGCATAACACACAAACACACGTATATGAAGACTACAGTAAAATGCCCACCATACACTCTTAAAAACCAATGGTTCCATGAAGAACCCTTTCACATTCATGGAATCTTTCCATTCCACAAAAGGTTCTTTAGAATTTTAAAATGAATTTAGAATTTCATTTTAAAAAATGGTTATTTTAAGAACTCTTCACTTAAAGGTTCTCTGGGGAGCAACAAACGGTTCTTCTATTGCATCGCTGTGAAAAAACCCTTTTGGAACCTGTACTTTTTAACACGTAATTCCAGGAAAAACACATCCAAAACGCACACTTAACAACTATAGCGTCGCACATTAACTGGATGAATTACAAACACTTACACGGAGCGTGTTTCCGAGAAGACGTCGGCGTGTATGTGCATCATCAGGTCACCGCCGGCCGTGTACTCCATGACGAAACACACGTGTTCCGGCGTCTGAAAACATGCAAACAGGTTCACCAGGAACGGATGCTGCGCGCTGTTCACCGCCTCGAAGATGCGCTTCTCGCACATTAAACTGGGGGGGAGAGAGAGAGAGGGAGAGAGAGAGAGAGGTTTAGGGTTTAACTGAAGTTTTCATTTCATGCAATGTTTGTAAGGAAAAATACATCCTGAAGTGAACGCTGACCTCTCGACCTCGTCCCGCGCCACAATGTCCCCTTTCTTCAGGGCTTTGATGGCGTACATCTTTCCTGAGTGTCTGTATTCAGACAGAAGGACCTGGAAACACACACACACACAAGTGTGCACACGAGTCTTAATTCACAAACTGGTGTGTGTCTCGAATAAAGGGAAGAGAAAACACTTCTCATAGCTTGTGTTGTTAATTCAATGTAAAACCGGAGTTCAGAAGCAAAACCACTGCTTTTAAACATGAGTTTTCCAGTAGAACGCACGAGCGGTGTTGTTATTGTTAGCTAAAAATATTAAGAAGCATTTCTGATATCTGAAATAAAATATAAATATTAGATTGAAAACTTAAAGTGTTTCCTTGACAACTAACTGAAATAAAAAAGGTTTAAGTGTGAAGTACTAACATCAAAATGAAATAAAAACTAAAACTGAAAAAAGATATAAATTTAAGCTAGAAACTGTAATGTTAAAAAACAAAACAAATAAAAAAGACTTAAACGTAAATAAAAAAGAAATCTGAAAATATTCCAAATAAAGTAAATATTCTAAATATAATCAAATAAAAACATTTCAATTTTAAACAAAATTGTTAATGCAATGTAAAATCTGAGTTCAGAAGCAAAACTGCTTTAAAACGTTTGTTTTGATTTGGACTTGTTATTGTCGTTGTTGTTTTTTTTGTAAACTTTATTTAGTTTTCTAATATGACATTTGTTTTTTCTAAACAAAGATCCAAAAAAGAAACAATAGCACGGTATACCAAATGTGTAAGAATAAGGGAAATCTAGTTACAGATAAATATCTCTGATACATAAAATAAAAGTGTTTCATACATATCACAGCGGTAACATCAGAAGGGTGTGGAGAAAAAAGAAATATAGAAGAAAAATAATAATGTTATTGTCGTTGTTGTTAATTAAAACTATTAAAATACATTTTTGTCAATTGAAATGAAACTGAAATAAAATAAAATACAAATATTAGATAAAAAAAAAAAAAGCTTAAATGAAACAGAAATGTTGCCGTGGGTGCAGGACGTTCTCAGTGTGTGTCGATTCTGTCTGATTAGTGGCTGCAGTTTTTTATTTAAGACTGAACTTGTTCCAGTTACCTTGCCAAAATGTCCCCGGCCGAGCACTGCGATCATTCGGAAATCCTGAAGACACAGGGGGCTTTTGGACGACCTGCGCACACACACACACACACACACACACACACACACACACACAAACACACACACAGGCCGGATGTAATTAGAAGGTATAATTACTGAAGGTAAGAGCTGGTGTGAGGTCCGAAACTACATGAGTGTGAGTGTGTGTGAGTGTGTGTGTGTGTGTGTCACGCTGTCTCTTGGCCCGGTCTGGAAGTCATATGTTGTGCTGGTAGGACGTGTACCTGCGCTGGGAGTTATAGGAAGTGATCCTGACATTCCTCTCAGGAGGAGCGGGATCAGGAGGAGAGACCGGCTCCGGCACCAGCCCAATGTCCACCTGACAAATTATTATCATCAACACATTATTATTAAACACTAAACACATTATTATTCCCTCTTGTGTTACATTCATTCATTACTATTATCTTAGTTTATTTTGCATGTATTATTTTACTGCAATTGCTAATATTCCTTGTTTTACTTGTACTGTTTTGCCATTGTAAACAGCAAATACTGTCAACACAAATGTACGGTTCATGCCAATAAAGCCCATTATAATTAGAACCGAGAGCAAGTTTTCATTCATTGCAAATAGATTTCCCTCAAAATAAATAAAATCAGTGCAGGTCATATTGTGCTGCTACACTTAAAAATACAGAAGATAAAATATCAAATTGGATATTAAAGAAATTTGTTTGCAAAATCAATTATTTAAAGACGTAAAATTAAACCTGTGGTGTAATCTTTGATATATAATATTTAAAAAATGTTTAATTGAGTTTTTGAGTGATGATATCATTATATCATTGTATATTTTAATTTCAGTTTTACTTGGTCGTACAAAAGGAAAAGTTACTGCATAAAATGATGCATAAAACATTAAGACTAAGCAGAAGCTTCTACAAACCATTTGTAAGCTGTAAATGTAGTATAACTAGCAGCCAGAATTAATTAAGCAAGATTGATTAAGAATTATGTTTATGGCTACAATTACACAGTATTTGGGATTGAAATATTGAGGATCATATCGTCCTGTTTGTCACAATATCCGCTCAATTATTAACTGATATGATGTATGAACTAGTAACTTCATAGATTTTCCACTCCTGTTAAAGATCCATATATTAAATATGTTATTAAATATTATTGTCATACATATATTAGAGCGTGTTTCTGATTTACCGTCTCGGACCCCTGTGTGTTTTTCCTGGTCACAGACGGGGGAGAGTCGTCGTCCAGCTGGATCTTCTGAATGGAAATCTCGCTGTGGAGAAACACTCAGAGTCGGTCATGTTGGTCAGGAGGATCACAGGTGTGTGTGTGTGTGCGGTGTGTTACCTGCTGTTGTGTGTGTGGCTGTGTTGTGTGTAGCTGTGTGTGGACGAGCTCATGGGAATGGCATTCTTCAGCAGCCGGACCCACGTGGCCATGTCTACGTTCATCTGTTTAGCGCGCAGGAACGCTTTCCCTGAGTCACAACAAACAGGACAACAGTTAAATACTGTGAAAACACGTCACAATATTATATCATGTCAAATATACTCCCGTCCCGTGCTGTTTAGAAACAGTTTTTTTGAGGACTAAAATAGATGAACTCTCTATTGACCTCAGGCTAATTAAAAAGCACTTTTAAATAATTGTTGTAATCATTGTGAATTGTATTATATATCTATCTATGTTTTCACAATGAACTGATTTTATGCTGATTCTAAGCAGTTTGAAAAAATGCATTTTAAAGTCCCCCTGTGGTGAAAATCAAGCTTTAAATGTTGTTTTTATGTCTATGTGGTGTTTTTAATACGCTTTAAGACAAACCATGTGCACATTCATAAGTCGACAGCATTGCTGAGTATTTTCTGCTTAAAACTGCAGAGAATCAAAGACAGTCTCAAAAACACGGCTTGAAATCGCTGGTGTTTCTGACGTCACACACTACCTTGTAACCAATCAGATCAACATGTGATCGCCAACGAGTGGATCTCTGAGCTGTGTGAGTGAGTGGAGGTGGGGATCATTTGCATATTCATAGAGCCACATATACTAAATGAGGCTAAAAGATATTTTGAAGCATGAAGACATTTTTTTCAAGGAAAAAACTTTTAAATGTCATTTTGGTGATCAAAGATGAGTTTTAAGGGATAAAATTATTGACTACAGGACGATTTTATAAAATATGATAATTTAAATGAAATCAAATAGGTGCATATAGTTTATAATACACTATACCATGATTTTTTGAGGGCAGAAATCTGACCCGTTTATAACTGACAAATATGCATCACTTAAGATTATTACATTATTAAAACTACGTAATCCAAATGAATAGACAAATTTATATGTAATACAATTACATGTATTTATGCCAAAATATTTTTTGGGGTGTATAGTGACAAATTATAAACAAGCTCCAATGTTTACATTAGGCATAATTTATAAATCTGGGACATTAACATCCACAGAATCCCAATTTTCATACTATAATTCTTTCATAGTATGCAATATTAGTGCAACTCTTTGCGAATATTGCCCTGTGTACTATTTCATCTTGAGTATAAATCCATATCAAACTTCAGACTGAAGTTAAACTTGCATACTTTACTGCCACCAGTGCATTTAGCATTAGATCCAGTGTTCCCTTTCGAGGGAACTAGCGCTGCATCGATGACGCTTTGGGAACGCCCCTGCGTGATTGCGTCTGAAGCACATGTGTCAACTAGTCCAATGGCGAGAGTGAACGTCACGGGCGGGTGACGTCACGACCAGGAAAGGATAAAAGCACAACTGATCTGACTGGCGTTAGCTTCTGTGCCTCAGCAAGTGCTCTGTGTTACAAACTGTCTGTCATATTTATTGTTGTCTGACACGAAATCATACAGCTACAATCACATATATATATAATGGCGTCCAATCATTCAAGTTGTTTGCTTCTCCCTCCCCTCGTTATCTTAGGGGTGGGGATACACTCAAACTTTGTGTGATGCGTTTGGGAGCGGAGCATGCTCTGTCAGCCTTCGAGAGAGTGTGTTCAGATGAGCGTTCCCTGCGGTTCGGGCCCCGCTGCTGCCAAGGCAGCACAGGAGCTCTTAACGTGGGGATCGCAAATGGATCTCACGGCGGGGTTTGAGACGGGCCCCACCCTTTCTCAGCCTTTACCCGTAGGATCCAGTGCTCTCTCTCCGGAGTTGGAAGCCCGTCCCGAAACAAGGCGCTTGTCCCAAAAGTCTATTAGACAGAGCAGCCCCAGCCGTCAAGCTCCTCATACCGAGCGCAACAGAAGGAGAGTATCGCCTCTGTGCTCTCGCCTGCCAGTGTCGCCTCGATCCTCACAGTTTAAAAGAGGTAAAGCTAAGCCAGTCACTCACTGTAAAACAGTTTCAAAGGTGTTGGGCCTGATGCCAGCCACGTCCAACATCATACCATTCGGCCTGCTGTACATGAGGCTCAAGACTAAGGGGAACCCACTCCGTACAATCAAGATAACACGGCAATGTCTCTGTGCCTTGGTTATATGGAGGAAACCTTGGTTTCTATCCCAAGGTCCAGTGTAAGGAGCTCTTTGCCATCGAGTTTCGCTCTCGACAGATGCTTCCCTCACTGGCTGGGGAGCGGTGATGGAAGGCCACTCAGCTCAGGGTCTGTGGAGGATTCATTATCTTTCGTGGCACATAAACTGCCTGGAGATGATGGTGGTCTTCAAGCGTTGAGACACTTCCTTTCAGTCCTGAGGGGCCATCATTCGAGACATTTAACCTGTGGGTCTGGCCTCTAAGGGGCCCAACTCATAGTATCTGGTCTTTTTCTGGTCCAGAGTTTTTACCTTTTGGTGTAATCTACGACAATGGGGTCCAGTTAATTGGACTGTTGGTTCAATACTTGAGTTCCTGCAAGATCGTTTTGCTTCAGGGTTATCTCCTTCCACACTGAAGGTTTATGTTGCGGCCATTGTTTACCATGCCCCTCTGGGGGGTTTATCTATTGAAAGAGATCCTCTTATAATACGTTTCCTTCATGGCACCCTGAGGCTGAGGCCTGCAATTCGTACTAGACTTCCAGCTTGGGATCTGGCTCTTGTTCTAGAAGGTGTATCTGCCGCTCTCTCCGAGCCTCTTGATTCTGTCTCAGAAAAGTTTGACCCTCAAAACTGTGTTCCTTCCAGCGATTTCCTCACTAAAAAGAGTAGGAGATCTTCAGGCCCTATCGGTATCTTCTCCGTGCCTTGAGTTAGCACCCGGGATGGTCAAAGTGTTCCTCTATCCAAAACCTGGATATGTACCTAAGGGTCTAACCAATGTTCCACGTCCTATCGTACTGCAGGCGTTCTGTCCTCCTCTCTTTAAAGATCAAGACCAGGAGAAATTGAACCTCATCTCTCCAGTGAGAGCACTGGACACTTACGTCCACAGAGCTGCCCTGTGGAGAAAGTCTGATCACCTGCTGGTATGCTTTGGGCCCCCTAAAAAAGGCCTTCCTGCATCCAAACAGACGGATAGCAAATGGATAGTCAAGGCTATCTCTCTTGCATATTAGGTTTCGGGCCAGCCTTCACCTTTGGCCACTAGAGCCCATTCTACTAGGGGTATGGCGGCCTCCAAGGCCCTAATTTCTGGGGTGTCCCTTCAAGAAGTTTGTGACGCAGCTGGCTGGTCTTCACCCCTCACGTTTGTCAGATTTTATGACCTAGACATGGATACCCCTGGGTCTAGAGTTCTCACGTCGTGACAGTTTTAACACGACAGGTTCTTGGCCGTATGGCATTAGGACATTCTCGTTCCCAAAAGCGTCATCAATGCAGCGCGAGTTCCCTTGAAAGGGAACGTCTCAGGTCACCCTAGTTCCCTGAGTAGGGAATGAGACGCTGCGTCACTTTGTCATACATCCTACATCCCTGTGATCGGGATGTACTTTTATCCTTTCCTGGTCATGACGTAACCCGCCCGTGACATTTACTCTCGCCATTATACTAGTTGACCCAATGTGCTCCTGACGCAATCACGCAGGGGCGTTCCCAAAGCAGCGTCTTGTTCCCTACTCAGGGAACTTGGGTTACAGTCGTAAGAAGAAGCTAACAGGTAGTGAGTCTTACCCTGCTGTTTAGAAAACACCTTCCTCTGGCGCTGCAGACGTGGACCTCTCTCGATCACAGGGTTGATGAACATCACCTGTAACACAAACCAAATTTTCTTTCAAATCTAAATTTCTATCAAAATCAGGATTTGCACACATTTTCTGGTCATATTAGTTCAAAATGACAAGTGAGATGAATGCTAAAACATGGCAGTATGCAAATGAACATCACGTTATGAGTGTTTCTGTGTGATTGGCACCTCGGCCAGCAGAAGTCCCTGTGGCTCCAGCTCCAGCTGTATCCGGTGTCTCTGGTTATCCAGGAAATCCTCCAGCTTTAGATACTTCAGAGCGCAGAGCGAGCGATAGTCCCTCCAGTACACCGCAATCTCCATCTCTCGGGACTGAACACAGCGCATTAGAGCATTAGTGTGTGTGTTTGTGTGTGTGTGTGTGTGTGTGTGAGAACGAGCGATAGTCCCTCCAGTACACCGCGATCTCCATCTCTCGGGACTGAACACAGAGCATTAGAGCATTAGTGTGTGTGTTTGTGTGTGTGTGTGTGTGTGTGTGTGTGTGTGTGTGTGTGTTTGAGTGTGAGTGTGTCTGAATGTGTTAGTGAGTGTGTTTGAGTGCGTGTTTGAGTGTGTGTGTGTGTGTGCGTTTGTGTGTGAGTGTGTGTGTGAGTGCGTGTGTGTGTGAGTGTGTGTGTGTGTGTGTGTGTGACTCACTCTCTCCAGCTCCAGAGTGAAGCTCTGATTCCAGGTCTGTTCACCAACACTCTTCCAGCTCGTCTGTCCCACCACACAGTTCTCCAGCTTCAACACAGCGCTCACCTCCCCTACACACACACACACAACATCAGACCAGTGTGAGAATACCACACAAACATTACAGTTAAATAACATCCCCACTCGTGAGGTTCAGAGTGTGTTTAGAGAGTGAACTGACCGGACAGGTCTTCACTCTTGCTGGGGATCTTCAGGCTGAAGCTGCTGGTTCTGCTGCTCAGAGTGAGTTTGAAGGGGCGCGCGTCTCCTGGACTGAAGTGAGGCAGGACGAGCGGGGACGAGCGACTGCGACCCGGGACGAGCTCCAGGAGCCCCACACACCCCAGCAGACGCACCTGCAGTGTCCCTGATACACAACAACAACACTCATATCTGGCTCGGTGACAACACACTGAAACTACAGCCTCAAAAACACATTCATGCTCATTTCACCCAAATCAAAACGATGTAGTAGGCGCTGTGACGAGAGCTGAAGGCCGAGGACGTGTGTGTGTGTGTGTGTGTCTGGCGTACCGGTAAGCGGCGAGGGTTTGCAGATGGTGCTATACTGGTTGTGGACGTAGGGGGCGCTGTGACGGGAGCTGAAGGCCGAGGACGTGTGTGTGTGTCTGGCGTACCGGTAAGCGGCGAGGGTTTGCAGATGGTGCTGTACTGGTTGTGGATGTAGTAGGCGCTGTGACGAGAGCTGAAGGCCGAGGACGTGTGTGTGTGTGTGTGTGTGTCTGGCGTACCGGTGAGCGGCGAGGGTTTGCAGATGGTGCTGTACTGGTTGTGGACGTAGGGGACGCTGTGACGGGAGCTGAAGGCCGAGGACGTGTGTGTGTGTGTGTGTGTGTGTCTGGCGTACCGGTGAGCGGCGAGGGTTTGCAGATGGTGCTGTACTGGTTGTGGACGTAGTAGGCGCTGTGACGAGAGCTGAAGGCCGAGGACGTGTGTGTGTGTGTGTGTGTCTGGCGTACCGGTGAGCGGCGAGGGTTTGCAGATGGTGCTGTACTGGTTGTGGACGTAGGGGGCGCTGTGACGAGAGCTGAAGGCCGAGGACGACGCCAGCACCAGCTCCTCTTTAATCAGACAGGCTTTCGGGTGTTCCTCCGGCAGATCCCCCAAGCGCTGCTCCAATGACACCCGCAGCAGATCCAACCGCTGGGACGCTTCACTCAGACGACTCTGAGCCTAGACACAAACAAACACTTTACAAACAAACCTCAAAGAGCAAGCAAAAGCAAACTTTTTTTAGAGTGTCGAAGCATTTAACATCCTTCTCTTCTACACTTAGACTGCAGTCCCACCTTTTCTATGAAGAGACAATATTTGCCCCATTAAATAGATTTTCTAGTGCATTTTTTACCTTTATTTTACCTTATAAAAGGCAAGGTTTTTATAACCCTATTAAATGTATGTCATGGTTTATAACAAATTCTAAAAAATTCCTTTAATTTAATGATCATTATAATTAATAAATAAATAGGGATGCACGATATATCGGCCACATATCGGTATCGGCAGATATACGTTCATTTGAAATGTTATCGTTATCGGCGATAAGAAGATTTGTCCGATATATTAAAGCTGATAAATAATACATTATATCCTTCAGCTGAGACTCTTCAGATGCGCACTGTTCAACATAAAGGTTTTGAACTGCTTGAAATATGATTGGAATCACTTCAAAAAAGGAAAATACAGTAAAGTGCAACACGTGCAGCGCAAGTCTGTCATATCAGCTACATAAAATTATAATGAGAACATTATAATTGTGTGTTTGGGACATGGCTTTAATGATGACACTTTTGTTTTTGTAATCAGCCTCTCAAAAGTTATATTAAAATTCAGATTTAGATTTATCGGACAATATATCGGTTATCGGCTTTCAAACATACAGAATTATCGGTATCAGCCAAAATTTTTACATCGGTGCATCCCTATAAAGCAATAAAGCTGACGTCACAAACTACCTTGTAACCAATCAGATCAACGTGTGATCGTCAACGAGTGGATCTCTGAGCTGTGTGAGTGAGTGGAGGCGGGGCTCATTTGCATATTCATAGAACTACAAATACTAAATGAAGCAAGAGTGTCGAGTTACATTCAAGCTATTTTAAGGCATGAAGATTTTTTTCAAGGAATTTTTTTTTAAATATGTCATTTTGGTGATCAAAGATAAGTTTTAAAGGATAAAATGATTGACTACAGGGGGGCTTTAAATAAATCTCTATATTTGTTCTTCATGCTAGTAAATGCTAAATCCCCACTTTTTTTTTTACAATGGTACATCGTGGAGAACGGCAGTAATGTAGTGTGATTTAGCATATACTCTGCACCCATTATATGCTTCCTGCTTGTGTAGATGCAGTCAGTTTTGACCACAAAAGATGTGGTAATTTGATTGGATGTCATGTATTTGACCTTTTACCACACTACCATGTTCCTGTTTATTTATTAGAGGCAGTATTTTGCCTGTCAGAAATACTTGCGCAGTTTTAATGTTGGCGTACCCCCCTCTGTCACCTCCTCACGTACCCCAGTTTGGGAACCATATGTTTCTCACACCTCAGCAATGGCTTTCTTGTCCTGTGCTTTCCCAGCTCCCATGAGTCTCAGCATGTTTTTGGCTCCCTCGGCCATGGCGTGTTCCACACGGTAATGATGCCAGAGCTCCTCAATACGCAGCTCCATCCCACACAGATCCGGCTTACCTGCTGACATACACACATACACACACGGGTTAGATCCTTCCGAGCGTGCTATACATAGATGGACAAACACACACACATACACTCGCACACACGTTAGATCCTTCCAGGTGATGCCATACATAGGCACACACACATACTCACTATCAAACACACACACACACACACATACTCACTATCACACACACACACACACTCTCGCTCACATACACAAACACACACACACTCACACTATTTACAAGTCCTCCATCACTGAGTGAAAATCTGTGATGAGTTTATGTTTGTTTGATTGTAATTAGGAATGTTAAATAACTTTAACTTTTGAACATGAACGGTCTGAAGACACAATCAGCTCACTCAATATCTACGTTATTTGAAATAAACAAAAAACCCTAAACTTATTTAATTTCAATTAGTTGTCTAGGCAACATTTCTAATTTTCATTTAGTTTAAGTAAAAATTACATTAAAAAACTACAACAAAAACATAATAAAATCACTAAAATTAAGATTATCATTAATTGAAATTAAATAAAATGTAATACAGAACTAAAATTACTAAAACTAAACTGAAACTGAAATAAAAAATACACATAAAAAAATGACACTAAAACTTACACTAAAATTAAAATAAATGTTAACTGTAATAAAATAAGATATAAAGAAGGACTAAAGAGAAGAACTAGAATTAAAAAAAAAACGTTAACTGTAATAAAATAAGATAATAAAGAACTGAAGAGAAGAACTAAAATGACTAAAACGTAAGTCCTTAAATCCCCTCACAGGATGTCAGACGTCACTCCCAGGAGCGTCCCGTGGATCTCAGTGATGGCCGAGGGCGGAGTCACATTAATAAATCTATTCTTAACCCTCTGGCCTCGGGACACGAGACATCAGCGCCGAAACACACCATTAGAGTCCATTAGACCCGCAGATTCAGCTCGCCCTCCATTTCCTCACTCTCCATCTCTCATCTTTCTTCAAATCTGTCTCTTTCACTCTCTGCATTCAGATGTAGTTTTATTAAAGGACAGTTTATCCAAAAGTTTAAATTCTGTCATTATTACTCACCCTTCTCATGTCGTTTCAAACACGTTTGCTGTTATTTTTTGTGGAACACAAAGGAGATTTTTTGCACATCTTTTATATACAACGATCAAAAGGAACTTCAAATATCAAGCTCCAAAAAGCACAGGAAGCACTATAAAATACCATAAATCAGTCCATAGGACTCCATATGCACTATATTATAAGTCTTCTGAATTCATATACTGAAACTACAAGCCTTTTGACAGACAAACAGCAGGAAAGAAAGATGCGTGTCTCACTGGACAGATTTAGACTGTCTGACGAAACAACCACAGACACCAGTTCTGTTTATGAACCAACCATTTCACACAAACATCCACAACCGCATCATCCCTGGTATTCAAAACATGCCATAAGAGTTCATGTCCTCGCTATATGAAATGTTACACTTACAATTTGTAAGGATGGACCCAGCCAGCACAGCCATGTGGGGCCCACATGGGTTTGACCTGGGCTATCTAACTGGGACCCAGACAGTTTTGTCCACGGTTTCCATGTAGGCCCCACATGGGTTTGCCCAGATGAAATGAACACTGCTCAGTGTGCACACTACAGGCTGTTAAATGTAACACATATCAGTGTTGGAGTTAATGAGATAATTAATTGTTTAACCCTCTGGGGACCAGAAACGCGCGGGCGCGTTTTGCTCGTTTTTTTTCACATAGCAGAAAAATAGACTTAAAGTACTACCATCATTTCTGTTCATATAGAGTTAAGAAATATGAGAAAATAATCTGTTAAATGTCTACTTTTTTATGTGCCCACATACAATCGAAATAAAATATTGTGCTTTTGTAAAATAAAGAAAATAAACAGGGTGTGCGTTCTGCCTCTCGGTCACCGTGAACTTTTTTTCTGGAGCACGTCTCTAATCTTCAACACAACTCAGCTAATATTATTCACCCAGCCATAAGCAATATATCTTTTAAATCGTTTGAGTTTGTACTTTTAAATGATCCGATTCAAAACTAAAATTATTATTCTCCGTTTATGTCATCTATATAAAAAGAGAGACGTGTCAGCCCGTCTCATTATCGTTCTCTCAGCTGATTATCTCTGGTAATGTGACACGCCCACGGAGAGCACGCGCTAATCAAACGCAAATATGTGAAGCAACACATTGAGACGCGTTAACGCCCATAAACTCTGAAAACACACATTATTTTTTAGTCAGATTAATCTACTGTCGTCTTACGCGGCTATATGTGGAACAATCCTGGGACATTTACCACTGGGTGTATTTTCACTGCGAGGATGAACAGATTCAGCTGAGAAGTAAGTGTTTTTTGCAAGTGCTTTGTTCTAATCGCGTTATAGAATAACGTAGTGTCTGTAAACGGAAAAATAGCGTACTGTTAAATGTGAATCATGTTTGTGTGTGTGTGTGTGTGTGTGTGAATGAATGAATGAATGAATGAATGAACGCACAGATACGCACTGTTACAGACTAAATAACATTTCGTTGACTCGTTTTGGATAAAGTTTTTACTCTAAAATAGACATCAAATAAGCTTTTTTTTAGGAGTTTCTGCTCATATGTTAGTATGTTATAATATAGTATGTTTTGTCAATAAACTAATCAACTAAGATGTTATAGTGTTTGTTCAAGCTATATCAAAATAATGAATCCTCAACTTTGAAATATGTATGATCAAACTAAGACATTTATGGAGAAAGACAATTTTCTTTTCAAGATGTTTCCAACTCTAACTTTGAACTTTGAACTGAAATAAAACCATGTCTATATGGTGAAGGGTGTGTGATAGAAGTGTCCAGACTTATGCACCCTGTATTTTCCTTATATAAATCCAAACAATCTAAAAGCCATTCTTTTTTAAATCTCCTCATTCTTTGTGCAAGGCTCCTGTAATGATATGGCCTGATAGCACCTAATAGGGCCATTATGGGGAGGGTCTTTGTCTTTCTCAGGTGTGAAATTCCACACATATTAATGAGAGACCACGCCTCCTGCATAAAGCTTTCTCAAACAAAACACGTCATTAAAAATGTAAAAGACTTTATTGACTTATCTGAATGAGTAGTCAGGATGATTCTCACATAGTTTTGGAGCAAATATTCTAGGCTATGTGATACAATTTTCAAAAGTCTTGTGAAGAAATAATCAATATGTGTTTTGTGGTCTTATTTCAGCAACTTTCATTTTTATTTTTGTCAATAACCACGCATAAACATTATTCTATTAAAAATACAAACATGTACATACATGTTGCTCACTCATCATGGTAGCCAAGTTTGTGCTATATAGAGTGAATGTACCCCTTTGCCATTAACATGTTTATAAATAACTGAAAAAAGCACAAATGTCAGTGCATGTCAAAACATCCCAAGGGCCCCAAAAACACTCTGGTCCCCAGAGGGTTAAATAATGATTGAGCATTATTGTTAACAAGCAGAATCACTGAAGGAAAGAGAAACACAATAACTACTTCCAGTCACAGCCTTAGATGAAATCAACTGAAGATAAAATACACGAAATCTTTCAAAATCTGATTAAACAACTCCACAAACAGCATTACCGGCTTCACTTATTACTAACCAGGTTGACTTTATTTCTGGTAGACGTCTACAGAAGTTCTTATTGAGAATTAACAGAGGTTAAGATGGTGATGATTTATTGAAAATAATAGTTTGGTTTGATGTCACCATTATGGTGATAAGTGTTTGCTTTAGTTGGGCTCTTGACTTTTTAACATTAGTTTTTCTCTGTTCAGTTGTACAAGTGAACCTGAGTTGCAGTGTGCACAGGACTAATGCTGATGAGGTCTGAGATAAGACTTCCTCCATAGAGTCAAACAGGGACCCAGCAAACACAGTACGTCAATGAGACGTCAGGAAGACGTCGGACTCAAACTAATCAAACTCGGTAGTTTGAATCTTTAACACTTCTTGGTGCTCAATCCCTCAGATTAAACTGCTGGACAATCACAGGACTATTCCAATCAATAATTTGAAATAAAAGACATGATATCTAAACAAAGAATAGACTCTGAATATGATCATGTAAACACTACATGATGATCATTTCTTTATCATCATCAAGTAGTCAACATCATCTGTACATAATTTCTCTTGCAGTTCTTGCCATAACAAACACAATAACAGCAGCAATTGAAAAACTAATGTTAAAAGTCAAGAGTCAAACTACACAGCTAACGAACCATTTTCAATAAAACATCAACATCTAAACCTCTGTTATTTCTAATCAGCAGACGTTGCTGCTACGCTTAGGATTGTGGGTAGTGTAGTTTTTTTTAATAAGATCGCGGATAAAACACGTTTTTCTTAAAACAAGGTTGATTTCATATGAACTTATAGCTTCTACAGGAGCAAAAACCTTCGTTTCACAACCTCATAGCTCGTGGTCAGTCTACCTCGGATGGTTTAGACATTATGGCAGGAAACAGGAAGTGTGACATAGGCCTATGCTGTTATTAAGCCGTTTAAGGATATCTATGATGATGTTAAGTGGGTAAACGCTCATTTCTATGAGACAGAGTATGTTAGTAGCACTAGCACATTCAGTACCCTGAGTGTCGTCGGTCTGTTCGGTGGCCTGCACGCCTTTCCGGATCTGCATTCGGATGATGTCGATCTTCGTCTTACTGTCCTGCAGCATCTGCTGAGCCGACTGGAGCATCTTCTTATCCTGAAGGACCGAGAGATGGACAGATGGAGATAGTCAGATTGATGGATGGAGGGATGGATAGACAGACATATATATAGATAGATAGAACGAAAGACAGACAGATAGAATGATATATAGATAGAACGGCATATAGATGGATAGATGACGGATAGGTAGATGGATAGGTACGTATATAGATAGATGACAGATAGATAGACGTTCATTACCTTGGTAACCCCATTGGCGTAGATGGGGATCATGTTCTCTGCCCCCTGTTTGACCTTCAGTTCGATGTTGAGCTGTCGCTCCAGAGCCTTAATCCTGTCCTGATTGGCTGAGGAGCGACTCGGCGACCCGAGAGACTGAAGGTCATCTGGGGGTCAAAGACAGGGTCAAACATTCATCCAGGGTCACGGTCTAACAGAATTATGAGGGCTTTAAATATATACATCAGTTTCTTGTATGCTCACAACCAAACACATCACCCCAGAAGATTCATATACACTCATTAATAATGAGATTTTTTTTTCGATTCGATTAATCGTTATTTAAAATGTGGTCGATTCAAAACTGATTCTCAAAGGCCATGAATCGATTTTTTTTCCATATTTATTTCTCCATCACCCAAAAGCCAGTATTAGTTTTCCATAAAATAACCGGATCCTTTTTGATCAAGGCATGCGACTGTTCTGACTTGTCCAATTTTCAGCATCAATTTCATCTGGCATCAAAATCCTGTCTATTCATTGCATGCATTGAAATATAGAGTTCTGTTTTAATGTACCCAAGTTTACCTAAAATAAAAAGAGTTTAATATACAGGTTTGTTGCTCTTAATTTCTTTTTATTAATTAACCACTTGTAAACTTGTGTTCACTGTTCTTTTTTTTAATAAATATAGGATTTGTATTAAATCTATATTCATTGAGTCGAAGCGGGAATCGAAATCGAATTTAGAATCGAAAATTGAATCGAATTGGAAGATCTGAATCTATACCCAGCCCTAGAATATAATAATATTCCTTAAAGGTCCCATATTGTACACCTTTCTGGAGTTTTATTTTAGGTTTTGATGTCCTTAAGAATAGCGGTATAAGTACCAAAAACCATCCCAATATATTTGTACAGCTCCTTTCTCAGGAGCTCTGCTAAGAACAGGTCGATTTTGGCCTGTCTAATTAATATTTATGAGCCTCTCTTCTGATTGGCCTGTTGTTTTCTGAGTGACGCACGGCCAGGCCAACCACAGGTAGGGTCTTGGATTTCTGTAGCTTGGTGATGCTCACAAGTAAGGTAAATAAAACACCTGTTATGATGGACATTGCTGAGGGAAATGTTATCCGTTAGTGTTGCATATCCGTTTACAAACTATAATTTCAGACTATGCTGGCTCCATATTGTAACATAAAATGTGTTAGAAGTTTATTTACGGGTTGCGAATTTGAGGTCGGACCCAACAGTGTAGGACTTCAGCATCTTTGATGAGTAGCTTCTTTGAAAAACCCGGCATTGAACTGTGCCTGATTGACGAAGCAGTCACTTGTGGACTGTGCAGAACAGACGGTTAAGGTCGAACTAAATTGCTGTGGTATTTCCGAATAAATAAACATTAGCCACTGCTATCTTATATGAATGTTGTTCGGGAGCCTGAGTAATGACGCTGGGCAGTGCTCTGGTTAGTGACTGAAGGCGCTGACTGAGTTTTGACGTCACATTCATACCGAAGTCACAGCGGCTCGTGGAAAGGCACAGCTACTTTATGCAGGCTGTGTGCATTTGTCTGTGGATTGACTGTTTTGAAACTTATGTGGTAGTTACATCGCCCCTAGACCTCTGCTATCACGAAAAAAGCCAGGAAATTTCAGTTTTGACAATATGGGACCTTTAAGCATTGGCTGTGCCTGTAAAGGTGAGATGATAAGCT